ATACACATAAATACAAAGATATACTGTACATGTGGAAAATGTCGGCAGCCGTTCTTGCCTTGGTAAGGCTGCTTGGCATGAAGAAACGTACCGAACGATAAGCTCTCAGACTCGGACACTGTATTAGCTGAGCCGTAAGCTGGACGTGACTTCTGAGAATTGCAGGCCCCTTGCGGCTCCTGGAACACACTGGTGGAAAGGAATCAACCTTGAAGAAGCTACAAGCTCAGCCGGCGGTGTGAGTGACCACAAAATTTGGCTGTTTGGAATCACCACTGAGACGTACCAGCAGAACTATGAAGGCAGACATGAAAATTAAGCAGTCTGCCTGACCCAAAATAAATTTGTTATCTTTATGGAAGTTTCTGGCAGCATCCACAGACAACTCACTGCCCTTGTTGGCTTCCTCATGCAAAAAATGTATTATGGTGTCATCAGTATGTTGCTATTCTATGTGCTGACGTAATTTTTTCGCAACGTCCACACTGTGTCCCATCTAGGACACAATGGGAGATTTGATTTTTTTACACCTCCCCTCCACCTCGTGTTTCTTTTTCCTTATCTGAAAATAAGGCTGCGCCTCTTGAGGTTGACGGCCTCAGTCACCTCCATCTCCCCATATCTGTTTGTTTATGTTTTCTCGGACGAGCTGTACTGAAGTGTAATTTCCTTGTTCTTCGGTGCAATGACAATAAAAAAGCTGATTCTGATATACACATAAATACAAACATATACACATACTGTTCATGCAAACCTATACACATACTGTACATACAAACATATACACATACTGCACATAAAAACATATACACATACTGTACCTGCAAACATATACACATACTGTACATACAAACATATACACATACTGTACCTGAAAACATATACACATACTGTACATACAAACATATACACATACTGTACATGCAAACATATACACATACTGTACATTCAAACATATACACATATTGTACCTGCAAATATATACATATACTGTACATGCAAACAAGTACACATATTATACCTGCAAACATATATGCATACTGTACATACAAACATACTCACATACCCAACAACTGACCTACAGGTAATAATGCATTCACTAAACAATCAAGTGGAATTTTTGAGTTACATTTTAAAGATTAGTTGTGTATTTATTTATTCATTCTTTCATTCTGTATGTTAAGATCTACCCCCACCTCCAGAGCCCCCACCAGAGGAAGTCAGGCTCCAAGGGCCCCAGGGGCTTTTGGAGCCCAGCAACAGGACAGAGAGCTCCCTGTTGTCCCTGGAGAAGAGGGAGTACAGCAGCAGCAGCCACAAGAGGAAAGAGCCTGGACAAAGACATGCTGGCAGTAAGAAGCTGTGTTTGTGTGTGTGTGTGTGTGTGTGTGTGGGTTGGTGTGCGTGTGTATGTGCACATCTTCATCCCTGAAAGAGTGACCGCTGGCCTGGAGATGAGTGTTGACTGCCGAGTTCTGGCCTGATGATGTTGATCTTCTGTGCTGGGCTAACCTTTTGGCCAGTGGCTGTTTAGTTTCCCCGATGTAAGACTGATCACAGCCCTCCTGACACTGAACAGCATACACAATATTACTCTGTTTGTGCCGGGGGACCGGATCTTTGGGATGAACCAGTCTTTGCCGTAATGTATTTTGGGGTTTAAAAGCCACTGAGACGTTATGTTTAGAAAATAAACGTCTCAGTTTCTCTGATACTCCCTCAACATATAGAATGACCACTGGTCTGGGTCTGGGTTCCTCCTTTTCACCTGTTGGCTGACTGGAGTCCTGTTTGGGTTTCTTCGCTGCTTTCAAGAAGGCCCAGTTAGGATATCCACATCATTGCTCTAGAGCCTGTCTTGTGTGGGATTTCTCCTTCTGCCTGGCTCCTGAGTTAGTGGGGACGCTGTCTGCTCTGTGGTACAGAGTCCTGATGACTCCTAACTTGTGCTCCAAAGGGTGATGGGAGTCAAACTGCAAATACTGGTCTGTGTGGGTGGGTTTGCAATACACCTCAGTTTGCAAATGTCCTCTATCAGAGACTGAGACCTCACAGTCCAAGAAAGCCAGCCTGCCATTTTTTACATCTTCTCGTGTGAACTTGATGTACAAAGTATTTATCCACAGAGTTGATGTGGTCAGTAAAATGTTGGACTTCCTGAGATTTAATTTTAACCCAGGTGTCGTCAACATACCTGAAGCAATGACTTGGTGGTGTCCCTGAAAAGGA